TCCCTCCCCAAGACACACAAGTACACTTTAGCTCTTTTCCAGTTGAATACTTGATAGGTCAAAACCAATGCGTGTACACGGGGAAATCTGACCCTAGTCAAACAACAAGAGGCTATTTTTCTTTTAAACACCACCCACCCCCAACACAGAGATCTTTTGAAAGACAAGGGCTCTCGTGTGATTGTTGTTTTCCCCTATTGCCACCGTTTTTCAGGCTGTCGTGGCATGTGCAGGACTGAGCCTGGGCTTTTGATGCTGGAGGAACTGAGTTCAGATTCCAGCTTTACCAGGAGATCTCTGGGACCTGCGGCAAGCAGCTTCTCCCACATTCCTTCTTATCTAAAAGTGGCTTTAAGAATGTTTTCCTTTGAGGACATTATGAAATAAAACGTACAACAGGCCCAGTCCCCAGAATTGAAAAAACGTTAGCACCTGTCTATGCCCTTCCCTCTTTCTCTTGATTTCACCAAATTAGAATCTTCTCCCCCCCACCCCAGAACAGTACAGGCAATTGGGTGCTTAACCACCAAGCCAYATCCCCAGCCCTTTTTATGTTTCGTTTTAAGACAGGRTCTCACTAAGTTGCTTTGGGCCCGACTAAATTGCTGAGACTGGCCTTGAGCTTGTGATCCTCCTGCCTGAGCCTCCCAAATCGCTGAGATTTAAGTCAGGTGCCACTGCGCTCTGCCGAATCCCAGGATTTTGAGGAGCGTATAAGGTCACCTAATTCAGATTCTCTTTTAAATCTTAAACCCCTTCATGGTCAAGTGAACTATCTCTGTTTGCACACTTCCAATGATGAGGAACCTACTTCTTTCTGGGACATACATTGAYCTTTTAGGCTGTGCTATTGTTTCCCTAACTGACCCCACCAAGTTTTTTCTCACCTAGTTCTAGTTTCTACCCTTGGAATCACTCAGAGAGGTGCTTTAAAATGTCCATGGCTTTACAAGGGCCAAAAGATTGTCTGAAATTGCTACTTACCTTGGAAACAAAAACAAGTGTTGGATTTCATTGACTCCAGGGAGATCTTTTTGGAACCAAATCAGGGGCCAGGAATATAATGGAAGCAGGGCCAATGGAAATCAATTTTGCCCAAAGCTGGCCTCTTTACTCCTGAGCCCAGGCAGCYGGCCAAGCTGTCCGCTGGTGCTCTCTGGGACACACCTTACCCAACTACCCACAGAGACTGAGGGGAACCTAGGAGAGAACTGGCTTTCTTTTAAAGCCCCAGTGAGTCCTTCTCTTGGTGGCTACATCCAAACCTTATTTACCCCTTTGGTCAAGACCAGGGCTCCAGGTGTTCGCAGGGATGGGTTTTGTTCTTGCTCCAAGAGTCTGTTCKTAGTCATCTACCTGAAGCTCAGAATATTAGGTGTTGTAGGTGAGTCTGCCCTTCTCTCTCACACTGGTTACTAGTGAATCCTAAAATCACAGAATGGCAGAGTAGAGAGGGTTCTGAAGGTGGCGAAGGTGAAGCAGGAAAGATGCTGAGACCCTCTACAGTACCGCTCTGACCTTATTGAAAGGAGCTGGACTTCACCTATTTTGCATTCTAGAATTCTGAGATTTTTGTTTCTTGAAAAGTTTCCTATTGTTTACAAATAGAAATTGGACAGAATATGTGAGCTAGAGAACACTGGTCTAAGTAATCCCCTTGTTGCATATACAGAGGTAAGGAAGATTAAGATTCAGAAAGCCAAATTATTTTTCCAAAGGTCACATAGTTAAAAAAAAAAAAAAGTAGGAKAAATGAGACCTTGAATCAACATTGTCTAACATTCCACCTAGTGTTTTCTTTGCTATTGTAGATTCATGGGTGTSAGCATGAGTGTGTCTGAAATTTCAAAAAAAGATTGCATTTCTTTGAGTCCTCTTTAGTTACCTTTGAGACTCCGTGTTTTAGAATGAGGAAGAGCAGAAAGAACTACTAAAGAATGAGATACTGATTCCGTCATCACCTCTGGTACAAACCCACTGTACAGACGTTCACTCTGTCTCTTTTGGCATTAGTTTCATTATCTATAATGGAAAATTGAGCCTACCTGGCTTCTAGCTCTGATATTTTATTATTTCAATATTTGAGATATATTCTCTGAATTTTTCAGACATCAGGACATCACTTAAAACCAGCCAAGTCCAGTGGTCTTGGAATAGGGCAAGTTGACAGTGTCTCTCCAGTAACTATTTAGCCAGTGAACATAATACTCATTGGACATCTGTCATGTGCAGGGCACCCAGACAGGTGGTGGTGGTGGTGGTGGTGGTGGTGGTGGTGGTGGGCTAGTGATCGGTGTAGATAGCATCTCTCTCTCTCACTTCAGTATTTCCAGGTTTCCTTCATCAGACCTACAAAATCATCTGAATTACAATAAACACTGTACCTCAACTGCGTTATTTGTTTGGGAATTACCACATTCCTCTTTATCCTGGTATATACTTGAACCTGTTGCAATGTAAACAGCCTTGGCAAGATTGAGGTAAGAAAACTTTCCATTGCCATGTTCAGAGCTCAGGTCCTGTAGCATCTGTCCTAACCAGTCAGTTGGAATGGGAGAAGGATCATATCTATTGGAGTCCTATCTGTAATATAGTCCTACCAATTGCTCAGACCCAAGGCCAGGTGATTTCCTAGCATTTAGGAAAGAGAACAGGCTCTAAAGTCAAGGAACTGAGAGTTTAAATCTTAGCCCAAACACTTAATAACTTGCTGATCTTTCATAACTTCAATAGTTTTTTTTTGTCTGTAATATGCGATTTTTTGGAATTTCAAATTGAAATCATTCAGAATATTGTTTCAGGTCTACCATGTACCATTCCCTGTAAAAAGCACTGAGGTTATAATGCCCTTCCAGAGCTTATGCTAAGAAAGCATAGAAGATCTGGGTGTGGTGATGCATACCTACAATCCTAGCAGGTGGTGAGGCTGAGATAGGAGGATTGCAAGTTCAAAGCAATCAGAGCAGAGCAATTGGTGACACCCCACCCCCAACATTTCTACACATTTTCTAGCAAGATTCATTATGATTCTTTTCTATTTTATCTCCAAGAATCTATGATTTCTACTCTATTACATTTTAGAGTATGATAAAAGCTACCTTCCAATTATTGTGCATGATTGCTACATAAATAGCCTGGTTATTTTTACCAGAATCATCTGAAGGTAAGTACATAGAAATGGATTATGTCCCATAGACATTTCCTTTTAATACTGATTTGTTTATAGTTCCATGGCCTCAGAACCTCCACCACTTATTTTCCATTGATGCAACATCTTCACATGATCCTCCTACGCGTCCTCCAAAGCAAGGTTTGAACATCACATAGAGCTGGTCTCTGGTCCTTGCATCATGACTCACCAGCTCTGGGGCCTTGCACAAGCTGACACATCATTCTTACATCTCTTCTTAGGATTTCCCTCCACCATAAAATGGGGACAATAATAGGACCGTTCCACTGACCGTGAGGATTAACTGTTGAAAATAACAAATGCAAACTTTGGGGGAGAAAAAGAACTAATTTTATGACTTAGCCAATGATGAGCACTGAACGTAGGTCTTTTCATTCCTGACCCAGGCTCTACTCTCCACTGCACCTGCTGATGAGGCAGGAGCATGAAAACAATGGCTACAGCCCCATCACTGCRTGCCCTGTACTTACAATACTGCCTGTCTTTATAGACTTCACACTTCACATTTAGTTTTATTTGCTTACTTCATCCCTCTCTCTCTTTTTTTTCCCTTGATTCCAGGAATTGAACCTAGTGGCACTTTACCACTAAGCCACATCCCCAGCCCTTTTTTCATATTTTATTTTGAGGCAGGTTCTCACGAAATTGCTTAGAGTCTCACTAAGTTGCTGAGGCTAGCTTTGAACTCGTGATCCTCCTGCCTCAGCCTCCTGAGCTGCTGGGATTACCATCCACTCACTTCTTTTGTCTTCCCTTAATCCCATTTACACTGTGCTCCTGTCCTGTTGGTATTTCTGATGTCCCTCSAACACTTTTCCTGGATTCTTGCAAATGCTTCCCTCTCCTCTCCCTCGTTTAACATAAAGATCTCTGAACCACTTCTCAACCCTTCCACACCCTGAATTCTAATCCTGGTATCTCCTTACTCTTGGAATCCTCTCTGAAAACCCCACCTGCTGTGTCTCGGCTCAGGGACACTGTGTACATACTTCTCTTAGCATATTGCTCATGCTCTGCTGATATTGACCTGTTTTTCTGCCTGTCCCATGTATTGTGTGGAGCAGTCTGAACTTAATAATAATGATGTGTTAATTTCTACATCATCAATATCTAGCTCTACCAAATACTAACGCAAGAGGTTTGGTGGGTGGGTACCGATTGGGCAGGACGAGCATTAGGGTTTCTCAGTGTTGAACCTGTTTTTCCCCTGTCCCTTTTTAATGTCCAGTGGGGAWGCCAGGTTTCCCCAGATCTGTGTACTTTGCTCCACTGCTCAAAAGAGCGTGGAGGGACACCATGACCCCATGAAAGCTGGTCAGAACAAACTACCCTGATAAGAAACACCAAATCGCCTTTCTAAGCGTTTTGAGTTTTGAGATATTTCTTTTCATGAGAACAAAAGATCAGATAGTCTAAATCTGACTGACTTTGTAATCGACTTGCAATGTTTGGGGCAACTGAAAACAGGAGTATTTGGCCCAAGTACCATTAACAAATCCCTTCAGGAAGCCAGTGCGATTGACAAAGAAGGGGATGATGCAGAGAATGTAAAAATGGCAGAGGGTCTATTCAGGGACATGCTGCTTTTATATAAACAAATACAATGTTGACAGGGTGACAATTGTCTCCAYGAGAGACCCAATACATTCTCTTGCTCTAGAGGGTAATTCTGCAGCACAGACAGGACATTTGCCTCACAGTTGTGTCCTCTGATTCTGGGAATCTATGATTCCATGAGCAAAATGGTTTCTTCACCCGGGTTTTCCTTGCCCCAGGAATCTCCCTCTGGGGCTCTGAAGGCAGCAGCTCCATGGCTGTGGGCGAGAACGTCAGCACCATGACCAATTTCATCCTGTGGGGATTTTCTGAGCATCCACAACTGCAARTTGTCCTCTTTTTGTTGTTTCTGGGGATCTACCTCGTGACTCTGGCTGGAAACCTGGGTCTCATGGTCCTGATCAGGATGGATCCACACCTCCAGTCGCCCATGTATTTCTTCCTGGGAAACCTGTCCTTTGTGGACCTCTCATACACCTCCTCTGTAGCCCCAAAGATGCTCTGGGACTTCTTCCGCGAGCAGAAGACCATCTCCTTTGCGGGCTGCGCTGCTCAGTTATTCTGCTTCATTGGGATGGGAGGCACTGAGTGCTGTCTCCTGTCGGCCATGGCATATGACCGGTATGCTGCCATCTCCAGGCCTCTGCTCTACCCAGCCCTCATGTCACCTGCCATCTGTGTGAGGATGGCCGTTACAGCATATKCGGGAGGATTCCTCACTGGACTGGTCCAAACCAGCTCCATATTCCAGCTCCATTTCTGCGGACTGCGAGTCATTAACCACTTTTTCTGTGACCTGCCACCCCTGATGGCCTTGTCTTGCTCCCCTACCTTCCTCAGCCGGGTGTTGAATGTTCTCATGGTGTGCGCAGTTGGTGGGACCTCAGCTCTTCTCGTCTTGGTGTCCTATGGCCACATCATTGCTGCCGTCCTGAAGATCCGTTCGACCCAGGGGCAGATAAAGGCTTTCAACACCTGCGCCTCCCATCTGACCACAGTGATCCTCTTCTACGGCTCTGGCCTCTTCTCGTACCTCCAGTCTAGTGCTGGCTACTCCCAGGACAAAGGTAAGGTGGCATCTGTGTTCTACGGAGCAGTGATCCCCATGCTGAACCCCATCATCTATAGTCTGCGAAACAAGGAGATCAAAGATTCATTGAAAAAACTCAAGAAGGGGAAAAAGCACATCGTTCTTTGAGTTAAAAACAAGCATTTTTTTTCCCCAAATAGAGATAAAAATAAGTGGCTCAGAGAATCTGAATTATACATTAAAGAAACTGTTTCAAAGAAAATCTGTAACCTAACGTGTCTACTAGACAATTAGGCTTAACAGTGCTTTGYTTTCTTGTTGTGGACTAGTTCTGCTTAAATTTTGATCATTTGCAATAGAAAATAAATATGCTTCTCTATAACAGTCCTTAGCTRTAGAGCATCAGGTGCTGTGCAGGACACAATGTCTTGGGGCCAGATGGATCATGGTCCCAGAACCACCACACTCATCAAAGATCTCTACAATCCAACATTGCTGCTACCAGTCCACTAACCCATTGGGTCAAGTTTTCTGTTTCCCTTGCCTTGGATTCCAACTCTACCCAAGGACTGCTAGAAAGCCAATGCTGGCTTAGAAACCCAAGAGCCCTAACTGCAATGAGGTCAGCAATGGGTACTCAGAGCCACGGGGTGGCTCTAAACTATGTTTGTGAACAGCCACGGGTCACATCTGTAGGGCCATCAGTCCACTTGGATCAGACATTAGGAGCCCAAATCAGAGGCTCCAAAGCCAGGAAGCCATAGTGAGCAAAGAGCAGGGATGAGGGCCAGTAGAATACCAGGAGCCTGCTTTCCATGTCTGAAACCCGCTAGTGACTGGGTGTTACCATCTGGTCAGGAAGAGAAGCCTCCCAGCAAGCTCTGGTTCCACAGCTGCTCCCTCGACCAGTCTTGGTTTTTGGCCTTGCATGGCTCTCTGACTCCTGCGGTTCTCATTGCAACCTCGCTTGAGTCTTACTTCTCGTGCTACATTTTTATCCTGTCTGCTGTCTCCCTGGACCTCAGGCTCTGCTATGACCCTGACATCGCTGTTTCCATTTCCATGCGTCCCCTCAGGAGGGTTCCCACTCCAAAACAGGATCGGAGACAGGACAGCCAAGTCAGGGGTGGGCAGGGAACTGACGGTGGCATTGGAACTGCTGCTGTTTGTTGTTGGTACTGGGGACTGAACCCAAGGGCACCGTACCACRGAGCTACAGCCACAGTTCTTTTTATTTTGAAACAGGGTCTCACTACATTGTCTTGGCTGGCCTCAAACTTGCATTTCTCCTGCCTGGGCCTCCTGAGTAGCTGGGATTACAGGCATGTRCCACCATGCCCAGCTCTCTGATTCTACTTTATAAGATAGTTCTTGAGCAAAAAACCGAACATTTTCCAAGTCTGGTTTCTTTAATTCTTAGGTGTTTCAGCGGTGATGAATTATGACAGGCAACCCTGAATCATATTTACTTTGGCTATAAATATTCTGCCTTAATCCACTTGCAATGATAGATCACTTGATTTATACGTGACCACCTGGACTATTGGCAGTGATGGGGTGGGGACTGTGACTTAGACATACATGTCTTTGTAAAGCTTTCTTCATCCTGGAGTTGTTGGACAGGTTAAGTGCTCCAGCAGTGCATTCTTAGAGGATCCTCTATTTCATCTATCAGAACCTCAGAGATTTTTTTTTCTTAGTTAATCTGTCTTCTTCCTGAGTTGTTAATATCCCCTTCTTTTTGTTTTTTAATTTTTTTAAACTTTATTTGTTTGTTTGTTTGTTTATGCTGGGGATTGAACCCAGGGCCCTGTGCTTGTGAGACAAGAACTTACCAACTGAGCTATACCCCAGCTAATAACCTCTTCTTTATTCCCTTCCTAAAACATAGCACAAATCTGGGGCAAATTATGTGCTTAATAATAATAATAATAATAATAATAATAATAGTAATAATTGTTTCCTAAATGAATGAATAAGTCCAAGTCCACTTAGTAGATGATTTAGAGATGTTATGCTAAAGGAAGGGAATTAACACTCACTGGATGCTTATAACATGCCAGTTATTGTGCATAGCAATTTTTAAAAGTTGAACTTCACAGATAAAATGTATACACAGATTCCTTGTTTTTTTTAAAAAATTTAAGAAAGTTTACATTTTTGTGTATTAAAATGCATACACACACATATATCAATTAAAAATACACAGCACTGCTGTATGTGGCTGTGTGCATTAACATACAAGGTATCATACCAAATGCTCACTATATTTTTTTAAATCCAACTTTATTTTTTGAAGTTTTTATGGTTAGTACATATAGATCTACCTCAGTCTTTTTCGTTGTTTCATAGAACTTATATACCAAAAGGTAAGCACCTTTTTATACCTATTGATGGACACTTAGGTGGTTTCCAGTTTTTACCAGTTTATTAAAAGTGTTGCAATATTCGTGTTTGTACATGCTGTGTCATGCTGGCATGCAAATTTTATGGTAGAAACTAAGTTGAACTGTTGTTTTTAGGGAACAGACTACAATGTAATAGGGTGCCTATTTCTTCACACCCTTGGCAACGGACTATATTTTTCAACAAATTTGTTTCTTTTGGGGAGTTTTTTATAGGTATTCTTTTAATACTTTCAAGAACCCTGGTAGATTGGGCTATTTATTGTCCTCATTTACATACAACATACTGTATACTACAGAGATGCTCTCTGTACAGTGTTTCTTTTAGTTTTCATGACCTCGATGTTAGAGATTTTTAAAAACTTTTAAAATCATCTAATTTATGTTTAATTGATAAATAACAATTGCATGTCCTTACAGAGAACAACATGTCTGAATAATGTTTACAAAGWGGAATGATTGAAACAGGTTCATTAACAAATTCATCACCTCACACTCATCTTTTTTTGTGTGTATGGCGAAAACATTTAAAAATCTACTCTTCTAGCAATTTTGAAATACACAGGGCATTTTTATTTGTTACAGTCATCATTCCAAGAAAAGGATTTCAATCATTTTTGTCTGAAATGGGATTAGTAAGACTCAAGAAAGAGGCTAAGCAACATATACAAGGGGCATATATTGACAAATTAAGGAAATCCTAAATATTTGTCTACATGACACCAAAGTCATTAGCTGAAAATGCACATTCTCACATCAGAGACAAAGGAGAAAACATTGAAGCAAATTGTGAAAAGCTGCTTAAGTATTTTCTCAAGTCAGGCACAATTTTAAGTGCAAAATGAGGAAGGAGAACTGACTTCGTTCTCTGGGATTAGTTTCAAAATGATCATCATTGAAGTCAGTAAGCAGGAGTGATGTTTATTTAAAGTAGCATTATTCAATATGAATTTCTTTTGGGGGGTGGCACTGGGGATTAAACCCTGGAGTGCTCTACCACTGAGCCACATCCCCAGCACCCCACCACCACCACYACCTTTTTGAAGCAGGATCTCACTAATTACTTAGTGCCTTGCTAAGTTGCTCAGGATGACCTTTTACTTGTGATCTTACTGCCTCAACCTCCCAAGTTGCCGGCATTACAGGTCTGCACCACCATACACCTGGCTTAAATATGAATTTCTTAATGGAACACTTTTATAAGTGATTTTATTCATCAATGATCGTGAAAACAAGGAAGAACCAAAATGTTAAAACAAAACAAAACTGAATGAATGTTGGATTAATAATGCCTCCTGAAACTAAGCATAATAAGGAGGCTCAATCCCAGTTAATAGCTATTGCACCTACATTCAGCAGAAGAAATGACAAGCAGCGCTCAAAGAGCTAGCAACTGGCAACAGCCTTGAGCAACCATGTACAACGATTTATCAATATGTGGGTGTGGTAGCAGGATACTGAGGGGAGGGGTTGATGTTCAAAAGTCTAACCCKCCATCAACCAGACAGGATGGGTTTTGCGTTCAACATTGTATGTGCATCCACTAAGAATCCTTTAAGTCAGAGGATTCTAAAAGAAATCCATTCCGTAACAGTTGCCTTCTTTGACAACATTTTTTCTGTTTTTCACATTCTCAAAACTGAATTATATCACTGAACATGGAAAGATGAACTCTTCACACCATGGTCACTGGGAAATTTTTGAGTGAAATTTGTGGCCCATCTGTTGCAAGAATTTAGGTCACACTGGAGATCATTTTTATCCTCATTAGTGACTCAATTCTGCATCTCTATTCTTTTCACTGTTGTTTTAATTTGTGTGTGTGTGTGTGTGTGTGTGTGTTCGTGTGTGTGTGTTCCTCCTGTCCCCTATACTGGGATGGAACCCAGATGCTTTAGTTACTGAACTCCATCCCCAGCCCTTTTTATTTGTGTTGTTTATTTTGCAACAGGATCTTGCTAAGTTGCCCATGCTAGCTTCTGTCTCAGTCTCCTGAGTAGCTGGGGATTATAGGACAGTGCCACCATGCCTGGCTATTTTATATATTTTTGAAAGTTACTTGTTTCGACATTTTGGAGTAAAGTAGAAAATAAAAATGACAAAATTTTGCTTTATCTATGAGGACAATACATTCAGAATTTAATTAGGATTATAGTTATTTTGATCACAAATATCAGAAAACTCAATTCAATGCTACCAGAGGGAAAGCAATCATAAATGCCAACTTTCAAAAGCTTAGGACTTGGAAGAATTGTGCTTTGGTGTCTTACTCAAATGATGTGTCTTTGTGTGGATATAATTCATACAATATTAATAGCTGTTCTTCTGTGGTACAAATGATCTCTRTAGGTTTGAGTGAGTCTCAGACTCAATGATACATATAAAAGAAATTTTGCAAACTTTAAAATGAATGGGTTCCCTAATATATATAAAGCAAACCCTTGGGTTTTGTTTTGCATCTATATGTAATGATTTCTTGGACTCAGGATAAAAAGGAAAATAATTTTTCAAAGGAAGCCACAGAACAGCGACTTAACCTGATTTGCAGCAACTCGCCCTTAGTAACATGGAAATRCCCCTTTATTATTTTAACTCTAGTGATTCTATTTATAATAGTTCTAATAAGAGCACAGCCTCCTTACTGTTATACAGCTTCTAGAACTGTAAAAAAATAAATAAATAAATTGCTAAAACCAGAGAACTTATGGGGTTGACTCTTAAWGGAAGTCAGCCAACTTGTTTTCTAATACCTGCTTCAAAATG